CTAAGGCAAGCATTTGAGAGGGTTGTTCAACCGCAATCTGAGTCAACCACATACCATGATGTGGTTACATTTTATAAAAAGTAAATATTGTACATTTGGCTAATAATTGAATAATGATGACTTAAGAGAGAAACAGAGTAATTTAAACCTACAGGAAAATTTGTATTTTGAGGAACAGCGGTGCCATAATTACCACAAAAATTGACTGACCAACATTTGAATGTACCTCTGAAATTAGGGAATGCATCACAGGCCTTTAATTTCAAGTTCTTGCTGTTCCAGACTATATACAGTGTCACATATTTTCTCTTTGGAGATGAAGATGCATCCACAAAGAGCCATGGTGAAAGAAGCCATGATTTGCTAAGGTATTAATTGGAACAGACTGCCACAGTTGTGGGAATGCTGTATAAGAAGCTGATCTTAACTACAGTCCTGTCAAAGAGGAAACACTTATCTCTAATAAAATTAAAACACCATTTCTTCAGAACTCCCCTTTTCTTACTCTATCATTCCTTTAAAATTTCTGTATACTAAATAGATGAAGCAGATCTACCCATTTTGGTTTTTGTGGTGAAGATTGTTGGAAGAATTAAAAAGAAAACCAGGCAAACCAGTAAGAACAGTTTGGATTCCGATTACTTACACTGAACATCACACTAAACAGGATCCAAGATGCTGCAACACAATCCAGACCTGAGACAAATAAAGTTCAGAATACTATAGGTGTATCTTTTCTTTAAAAAATGGCACACAGTGATATCAGCTGCTATGATTTAAGAAGAGAGTATTCAACTGTAGGAACTGAGAACTGACAGATGCTAAGTCAAGATCGAGATCAGAATGGCACACTACAAAGAATTCTCAGAATTCGTTATACACTAGTTTGAAACAATTTTCCATACATAAGAAAAATATAGTTGAAAGTAGGAGGGAAGAAATATATTACATAGAATAACTGAAACTCCCATGTTTTTATTTACATTGCTATACCCTATAAATAATATTTTAGCTAATACATTTTTCCATCAACTGCTGCAAAAAGCATTATTGTATACATAACCTTAATCTTTACAGTGACTGTATCTTCTCCACTTCAAGCTTTACATCATGATAAGTATGTATTGGCACTTGGAGTTTAGAAAGTAATCATGCTATAGACTATGTAGGCTGTTATTAGGAAGTATTAGCAGAAGGAAATAGAAATGAAAACATGAAAAATGACTATTAGAGAGCATCCAGAGGACAACAAAATGATGAAAGGTCCAGAGACCTAGAGGTCTCATATGAGGAGAGACCAAGATACTTTGGTTTGCTCAGCCTAATCAAGAAGAGACTATGGTATTAACAACTTCCTCACAAGGGGAGTGAAGAGGCAGGTGCTCTTCAGTGACAGCAACAGGACCTGAGGGTGCCAAGAAAGTGGTCATGGCAGTGAACTTGCTGAAGTTCAAAATGCACTTAGAAACACTGTTTGAATTTTGAGTAGTCCTGTGTAGAGCCTGGAGTTGGACTTGATGATTCCTTTGGGTCCCTTCTAACTTAGAATATTCTATGACTCCAGCACTTAATCAGAGTGAGGTAATTTTACGTTGATAAAAATACAACAAAACACAGTCTGCTCTTTAAAGTGATGAGCTCCTGTCCAGTATTTCAGTTCATACAGAGATGTTATCTGCAGGTGTTTCAAGATGCTCATTAAGTATGCTTTTTGTCTGAGAAAGATAGCCAACTTTTTGTGATATCAGTAACCTCAGCATAGTCACTTCATCTCTCATTTAGTGATGAAGGTTACATAGAACCAGACGCATAATTCATTATAAATTCAATTTGCTGCTTTCTTGCTTGCCATAAATCATTAGAGGTGCCCTGATAAAGGACAAGAGAGAAGGTTGGATGTTATTCCAAGGCAAATTTGGACAGGACAGATGGAAATCTTTCACCGCCTTGAGAGGGCTGCAGTGCTGGAGATGATACTATGGAACATCCTTCCTCACAAATTTCAAGTTTGCAAGTCATTTGATCTAGCTTTCAAATCAGCCTTGGTGTGATTATGGATTAAGTTCAGGGACCTCCGGAGGTCCCTATACAAAACTTATTCATTCTAGAATCACATAATTAAAAGTCTATTTAACATACTGTAGTCTTCACAAAACCTGCTCTCTTCAGGAAGGTTCATAAAACTCCTAGGGAGTGTCCAACCCTACCTGTCTCCAGGTCAACACTGGTATTAGCTATTAGGAAAATGACAAATTCGTTAACTACAAAAATTAGTAAAAACCAAGTCTGGGTATATGTTTAAGAGCATCAAGCATAGATTAAAAAAAAAAATAATCACAGGTAGATTTTATAGCTCTTTTTAAATTACATTACAAGGGCTAAGGGGAACTAGAGTTGATAAAGGCACACCTACAAGACATCTACAGTAGATAAAGTCTTTTCTACTATAAATCAATACTTAAATTATGTTTATTACAGACATATCTCTAGAATTCAGCACTTATTAGAATTGCAACTTGTATTTTCTACTTTTTAAGTCAGGTATATCTGTTAGAAAATAATTTAAAATTTCCCTTTCAAAAAATGCCTCATTTTTTGAGTTGGCATCTGAGTTGGGCAAGCAAAAATTAAATTAATATAACTCAAGCCTCAGTTTGCACTTTAGTATCTATGCATCTGTTCTATAAATCCACTTAAAATTTTTGTTTGAAATTTTTCCGCATAAAAATTTAGAACTCTTACTGTATTCTCATTTGGAGAAGCTCTCCCCATTCATCATTGGATTTCTTAATTTATAATAAAAAATGACTTGTCTCCTGTATCCCCAAAGAAAGGCATACTAGCCAGAGCAAAATACTTCTACTAATAGGAACATAGGAATCAATGAAATTGTCAGCAAATATTGCAGTGCTTCTCTTTATCGTTCTTTCTTTTTTTTTTTTTTTAATTTTACATTTTTAAAACCATGAAAACATTCTAAGACCAATCATACAACTATTACTCCTTTAGAATAACACCATTAGCAAGGACCTCAAAGAGTCACAGTCTGTGCCAAGAGTGACCATAATAAATACACAGTTTCTAGCACTGGTATACCGTCACTTCGACACCAGTAACCTTGAACAATAGCAAGGAACTGAAGGAACAGATAATTCTACAAGTGCCATATAGAGTCCTCCACTATTTGCATCTTGGGTTAAAGAACAGCCTTTCATCTGCATTCTCACTGAGTAAAAGTGAAAGACTTAAAAAGATGTACACTGTTTCATGTTGTCTTAAAAATTAGATTTAAAAGGCCAATTAATTTAGGGTACAACATACTCCAAAAGATATAATGTATTGGAAAAATATCACACTAAACAAAATTTTTATATAAGGTAAAATAAATGGTGTTTGTGTTCATCAGATTCTGAATGTAAGTTTGTGAACTTACACAGTGCTTCCATAACCAGAAAAAAAAAGAGTATAGTCTAATCAATCTGAAAAATTACAATATTTTTTCAAAATATGAGGTCAGTAGGCAATTTTTAGACATGTTGTAGCAGTAATCATTTCCCTCCTCCCTGCCACAACACAGAGATGTAAAAAAACAGTCCAGCTGCAGAAAGTGTGGTAATTTCTCAAGTATATAAATTATAAAGCTCTAATTTTACCCAGAAAATAAAAACCATATTTATTTTACAGGTAACTGTCAAACTTGCAGCCAAGCAAAGAAAAAAAACAAAAGAAAGAAAAATCAACACTGAGAACAGAGAATCAATTGCATGTCTGGACCATTTTTTTCTTTCCCACAGAATTTCTATGAAATCATATAATATAATACCGTAATGAGGACAACAAGATATAAATGAAGATGAAGCAGATGTGCCTCTATTTTTAATTCAGCTAAGCTGCTGAGTCTGGTAAAACTTGAGAATTTCTTCATGGTTTAACATAAGATTTTTAAAATCTACTAAGAGTGTATCAGGTATTGTAATCTAGTTTTGGGTTTACATAGTTCATCCAGTAGTCTGGCCTAGAAAAAGGTAGGTACAAGTTGTCAAAAAATATGTAAATTCTGCATGGAAATATTACGGCAAAAAGGGAAATTTCTGTTTCGAGGAAAGTTCTGTGAAATTGCAGAACTTCACTAAGATCTAACAGTCTCTCTTCCATTTGCCAATTTGAAACATCTTACAGTCCATAAAATTCAATTCTGCATGTCATAAATTTAATACTTCAATTTCTGATAAATGATATTGAAGCAGGGCTTCGATAATATTCAAAACATAATTATTGTATTTTGCAAATGATATTGCTTCTTGACATTACTAACACTAGCTCTTGCAGCTAGTCACTTTGGGGTAATTGTGTAATAAAGACCAGTTGCAGTTTGATTAGTCAGAAATAAACATTTTTTTCTGAAGTAGAAAAAATATCAAGTAACAGATGTATTTTTTTCACTGTTTGCTAATATCACAGTACATTTATTTTTTTAGAATCTAATATTTCTAGTATACAACAAATACTGTGGGATTTTTTCCTTTTATTTATGTTTTAATAGGTATGATGGAAGTTCCTTAAGAAGTGTGATGGTTTTGCTTTGCCAATATTTAAATCTAACTTCTCTGTTTGAAGAATGGCATAAATTTAAAAATTCAAATTCAAATAGCAAAAACACTGTGAATACATGGATGTTTTCATATAAATAAACTTGTAAAATCAGAATTAAAATAAATCAATTTGAAAACTGACAAATACTTTCACAAACTGCTTCTGGTTATTGACAGCTTTGATCACAGTCCAATAAAAATTCATGAAAGTAATCAGAAATATTATATTTCTTTAGGATAACATGATATACAGAAAGAAAGCTATCATCAGAACTACAGAAAAGTAGGTAGAAATTTTGCTTATGTATCAATCAATCCAAGATGTCACATGCTGAAGTAACTACAGGAACTCTATTAATCTGTATCAGATAAGAACAGGGTTTCCTGTTGTCCTTATGTCCATATTACCTTATGAGGTCAATTGGCTGAAACTTGTAAAATACTCCATATCTTGCCCATTCTCGATACAGCAACTAAATAATAAAATAAAAACAGAACAAACAAAAAATTAAATTGAGATAACTGTTCTTGTTAGTTTTTATAGATATTGTCAAAAAGTTAAATAAATGGAGCAAAAACAAACAAAAAAAAAAAAAAAAAACCACCAAAACCCACACAGTTTTCTGAAATTCAGTACAAACTTTCACATACATTTTCTTAACAGCTGTGGAAGATTTCAATCATGCCATGAATTCAAGTTTGGGGTGAACAGGCCTTTTCTCCGTATGCCTACTTCCTCCACATCATATTTATTAGACTGTAATGTTAGAAACAAGTATTTAAAGAGAAGGGAAAAAATTCCACAGCCTCATGAAAGTCTTTGGAAAGAAACAATTATACTCCTACACTAAAATTCTTCTTTAATATAATTTATTTAATGCCTGGAATTATACCACAAGTAAGTACTGTACAGTGTTTTCAGCTAAAAGGTGAGTGAGCCAAGAAGAGTTCAAAACTGGTAAGCTGATAAGATATACCAAGATGTAAGAAATGTGGCAAGACTTTTCTGCAACTATTGAGACCACTGTGTCCAGTGGACACTATATATAGCTCCTTCTCTCCTTATGCAGCCTCGGTCTTCTCTCCAGCCAGACGCAAAGGCTGAATTCTCAAATTTCTCACGTACCTAAAGATTGTACCCCTGAACCTCTAGCTGGTAACTGAGGGAGTAAATCCTCCTCTGATGTAAGGGCAGAGCAAGTATGAGATGGACTCATGAGACTGAATGAGACAAGTCTACGGGGCTGGATGGCATGCATCCCAGGGTCCTAAAACAGCTAGCTGATGTAGTTGCTGAGCTGCTCTCCACCACATTTGAAAAGTCTTGGCTGTTGGGCAAAGTCCCTAGGGACTGGAACAATGGAAACATCACTTCCATTAACAAGAAAGGGAGGAAGAAGGATCCGGGAAACTACAGGCCAGTGAGCCTCACCTCCGTGCCTGGGAAAACTGTGGAACAGATACTCCTAGAAGGCATGTTAAAGTACATAGGGATGAGCGGGTGAACCAAGAGCCAGAATGGCTTTCTCAAGTAAGTTCATGCCTGACCAGTCTGGTGGCCTTCTATGATGCAGTGACAACACTGGTGGACAAAGGGAAGGTAACCAGATTACCTGGACTTGTGCAAGGCCTTCGACATGTTTCCCTACCACACCCTTATCTCTAAATTGAAGATATACGGATTTGGGGATGGACTATTCGGTGGATAAGGAATTGGTTGGAAGGATGTAGACAGAGGGTTGTGGTAAATGGCACTATATCCAGGTGGAGACCGGTAACAAGCAGTGTACCCCAAAGATCTGTCTTGGGACCGATGCTCATCAGTGTCTTCATCAATGGCATTGATGGCAGGCTTGAGGGCATCCTCAGCAATTTTGCTGATGACGGTGCAGTTTACAGGTCAGAAGGATGCAAACCAGAGGGATATCGACAAACATAAAAGGGGGCCTGTGTGAATCTAATGAGGCTCAACATTGCAAAGACTATTGCACTTGGGCCAGAGTAATCACAGATGTGTGCACAGACTGGAAGAACTCCTTGTGAGTAGCCCTGCAGAGAAGATTCTGGGGGTTCTGGTGGATGAAAAGCTTAACACAAGCCAGCAGTGTGGTCTAGCAGCTCAGAAGGACAGTGGTATCCTAGGCTCCATCAGAAGAGGGGTGACCAGCAGGGACAAGGAGGTGATTGACTCTCTCTACTCTGCACTCATAAAGCACTATCCGGTGTGCTTTATGAAATTTTAAAAAAAAAAAAAAAAAAAAAAAATCTCTATTTGGGACCTTTTTCCTGAATACAGGAAAGATGTGAAACTCTTGGGATGGGTCCAGAGGAAGGCCACTAAGATGATGAGAGGGTTGGAACACCTCCCCTGCAAAGGCAGGCTGAGAGAGCTGGGCTTGTTCAGCCTGGAAAAGAGAAGGCTGAAAGAAGACCTCATTGCAGCCTGCCAGTATTTAAAAGGAGAGTGGAATCAACTTTTTACTTGGGTAGACAGTGATAAGACAAGAGGGAATGGTTTTAAGCTCAAGGAGAGAAGGTTCAGATTAGATGTCAGGGTGAAGCTCTGAGAGAGTGGTGAGGTGGAATGAACTGCCCAGAGAGGTTGTGGATGCTCCATCCCTGAAGGATGATAAGAGTAGGTTGGATTGGGCACTGGGCAATCTGGTCTAGTACCAGATCTGGTGGCCCTGCCTGCGGCAGGTGGCTCGGGTGATCTTTGGTGTCCAATCCAACCCAAGCCATTCTATGATTCTGTGATTCTATGAAAAGGCAGTGCAGATCCTCCAGAAAAGTCCTACAAAAGGAGGAACAAAACTTCCATCCCCTGACTGCTGAGTCAGGTATAAGAGGAAACATTTCAGAACTCCACATCAATCCCAATACACTCAGCTACCATAGGCAAGGGACTTGTGATAATCTTCCTTGTTCTCTGTTTTGTTTCTGTAATCTACATGTTACAAGCTTGTTGGATTTTAAAAAGAAACCTGTGTCAGTCCTTTAGAAAGACTTCCTGGAAAGGAAGTCAGTAATTATGGTATGAAAGGCATCACATTGTTCTGAAACCAGTGACAGCTGCTGGTTAGAAATCACTACCTGATTAATAATTTGGCAAAAGAGTTAATGTGATAGTAGTGAGTTTTATAACAGTGTACATACTTATTAATAATTCAGAATGGGCTTTCAACAGGCTTTTCAGAAATAGGTGAAGACCAGAGGAAGCTTATAGGAAGCATCAGAGGATTTAACAAATTTAGATGGCTATTCATCATGTTTTAACTTCAAAACAACAGCAATAACAAAACACAACAAAAAAGAAAACCACAAGACTTTCTATGGAAACACCTGATTTCTTTATATTCCTTTCACATTTTTATGCTGCGGGAGGACTATAGACAGTCTAAGAAAATATACTCATTGAAAATTATTTCTTGAAGTACAGACTAATTAAAAAAAAAATAATAAATGAAAGCAAGGATATGTTGATAAATGAAAGTAAATGAATCACATCATTATTTATAGATTGTGAATGCAGAATATGGTTTTAACCAAAAAGACATGTCAAGCCTAATTAATGTCCCTAATTTCAAAAACAAAACAGAGAGTGAAGAAAGAAAGAGTAGCACATAAGAGGTGAGGTCAGCTCCTTAAAAATAAGGCACTACATCATTACTAGTACAGAGAGCAAAATACATCTTAAGAATGTTTCTGTGTGGAATTTCTGGGTCTCACAAGAGACTACCTGTTCCCTTTCTGTAATCACTGTCTGCGGCTTGCTGGTCTCACAGAAACTGTAGCAAGTATGGAACAATGTAACTGCAGAGTTAATACCTTGAAGATCTCTACTATTCTGTCAGATTTGGCTAGGACTGGGCAGTAAGTTTAAAAATAGGAGGAGAGGAAGACAAAGCAAGAAACACATGCACACAAATCAGAACAAAGAAAACAGAGTACATTCTGCAGATAAATTAAATATTTATACTATTGATTTCTTTAACAGAAACAAAGGAAACTACAAAAATCCTCAAAAAAAAAAAAAAGTTAGTAAGATAAGATATAGAATTTTTTATCTAACTATTTTATGAGGTTTCCCATTCTTACTTTTCTCCTGCGGATGCTGTGTGAAAGGATTAGGTAAATATCAACGGAGCAATTAAGATTTAAATCTCACAGACACCTGTCCACCTGATTATTGTTGTTCAGAATAAGGAAACTGGCTTGCAGCCACTTAAGGAAATGGAGCTATGCCAGTGTGTTATTGTTAATGATTCAGTTCAGAATACTTTCTGGTCTTAGATAAGGGAGTAAATCCCACCCTGTTGCAGAAATTGAAAATTCTGCAATGAGATTCAAAGAGTGTAGGATCTTATCTTATAGAACATTGCTGTTACAGAGCACAGCCTTGAAAAATGCTTTGCATTTGTATGAAGAAATAGTGAAACTAGGCTCAATTTTCTTCAGCTTCAGCAGTAGCTGAAGAAGATTGCCCTGGATGCCACATTGATATTTTCATATGAATTCTTGTGGTTACCTCCTTAAAATCACCCCTTGCCTATAATCTGGTTTAGTTTCATAAATGACCCTACTGGTAAGTGCATTCACTGAAACAAGAATGTTAAAACTATCAAATTATTAGGACTACTTGAAAGCTAGAGAATTGAAAGTGAAGAGCAGAAAGACAGGTCTTCTAAAATTTCAATCATTTTAGGAACAGTTTGCTGCGGCATTTTTTCAGACAGCAGAATCACATTGGTTATGTCAATTCCAAAGGACATAATGCTGAATGTGACTTTATGGTATGGATATTTTCCACTCATGTGTTGCATACACTAACCCTTAGACTTAGCAATACAATTTTATAAGATTAAGATTAATGTGGAAAAAGGAATGGGCTTCCTTTCCTGATTTTTACTAAATTGAAATGAATTCTAAAAAGAGTTTCCTAATATAGTTTGTTGTATTTTATTAATTTCACTTAAATCAGAACTCTATGTAGATTAATGATAACATTTTTTCAATCTGCTTCTAATAATCTAGGGATGCTGTAATAATATATGCTATAATTTTTTTTATTTTTATTTTTTCTACAGCAGAAATCACACTGAAACAGAGAAATATCTTTACTATAGTCTTAGGAAAAGATTATTGCAGTGTTAGGAAAAGAGTGGGTTTCATTGACAGTTCGTTACTAATTCTAGTAGGATGTGACATAAGCAATCACATGAAAATAGAGCATTTTCTCCAAGGAAATGCTGAAGAGGGTTAAATAAGTATTAACCTTAATTACTGCTGACTTATTGGCTTACATATTCCAGGCAGGTTCTATTCATCATTCTTTGGGTTTATACTACAGAATAGTGAAACAGAAGATGCAGACAAGTTAAAATGGCAAAACAAATAGAGTAACAAAACACAAAAATGCCCCACTTTCCTTTAAATCTGATAAAGGCCTTTCAGGAAATTAAACATCGAGACTATTAGATTCAGATAGAAAACAGATGATGTTATGCATAGAAATACTACAGCAGATTCAACGTCTAGCCAGCAGAAACGTGAATAATTAATGAATTATTTCTGAAAAGACCTTTTTATATTTTTAATACTTAATACTTCATAGCTGAGTCAACTGGACAGGATAAAATGAAGGCAACACAAAATATAAGTAGTAGGGTGAATACTTTTCTAGGTATTAGTGCTTTTAGACCCTCTTTCCCCTTCTTTCGTATTACCCTGTCTTCCTACACTGACTACTGATCACTTACTTTCCTTCTCTCTAAAAAAGTGTACTAATCTTAGAAGTAAACTACACTTCTGACTTTCAGAGTCCCCCAGTGTATTACCATTAACACTTTTTCTCCTGGTTTTATCAGTATTCCATATCATGACACCATGCAGCAAGCTGCTAAGAACCATGCTGGAACGTGGTGCCAGGAAGCTTCATTTTCTGGCTCTTAGCTACTGATAGTGTCAGTTATTCTTAATGAGATCTGGCTTTCCAAGAGGAAGATACACTGAGAAGAGACAGACTACGGTTCCTAGGAGTCTACAGTACTTCCTACGTGATCTCCAGTTCCAGGTGATAGAGGTGAACTAGACTCTTCTTCACATCTGGGCAGTGTGGTCACAGTATGGTTGAAACACCTTTATCTCCCATTTGCTTGATTTGTTTGTTTGTTTGATTTACCTGTAACTCTTTTTTTATATTATTATCTTATATTCTGTTACAATTTGTAGTAAATTCATATTTCTCCCCATCGTAGTTGGGTAACTTTTGTTTTTCTTCTCACCAAAAAAGGGATGGGAGAGTGAAAGGGGCCAGGGAAGTCTTTTCCCCCTTCTTCTCCCCTCCTGTCGTGCATGAAACTATTACACTTACTCAGAGACAATTTCTTCACAAACAAAAGGTTCAAAACTATAGACACAAGTACACAAGCTTCTGCATAGTTAGCTTTCCAATTTTGTCTGACTAATAAATGGAATTTTATATGTCTCATGAAGACATTTTGTGGCTGAAATTAACACTATTTAACAAAAGCAATAAAGATCATGTTTTCAGATTTTTACCTACCTGTTATTGGAGAAATCAAATTTACCTGTATGATCTATGAACTCATTCTTAATATCAAGAGTTTAAAATTATCATAACTTGTGGCAATTACACCCAGAAACTACACTGAGTATTCAGTTCTTTCTTCATTTCCCCACAATTTTCCCTCCTTACTTACATTCTTATTGTTTGAATATCAAGGAAAAAAAATACAAACAGTAAAGAATGGAATGTCTCTTATCGGATTCCATTACTTAAATGTTTTTACACATTCCTGATAGTAAGTATATGTTTTAAATATAGTCTGAAGAGATCACACATCCATTTCTCTTGTGCAGATGGTAGGTGATATATTTTCAAGTCATTTGACAGCTAGAGCCATTTTCTTTACAAAGTAACTGAAAGTAGACTTTTTAAAATTGTATATAATTTAAGTAAATGAATAATAAAATGAATAATACAATCATGTTTTAGTTTCATAATTATTTATCTACAGCATCGTTTGGTTATGGAAGGAGAATAATCATGTAAATTCTTGAACTATTTTTGTGTTTCAATAGATTGAAAAATATTCTCTGTGCATGTGGAGCAAAACTTGAAGAAGTTCAAGATATTTACATAAAGTTAAATTCACTGAAACACTTAGTGAAATGTAATAGAAATTCTTACAAATTTTAGTGTGCAAAAGGACAGAAAAATAAGCAATGTAATAAGTGTTAAATGCACTGAAAAACCATTTGTTTGACTAAATGTTGGTTGCTATCTTATGACGTTTCGGACATTAATTAATACAGTAAATTAAACCTAACATTACACTAATTCACTAATTTTGTAATGTACTGTACCTTTCTTTCATTCATATCATCATTTTGGTATTCATATTCGCCCTAGGAAAAGAAATATAAAGTAAAAACAGTATATTCAATAATAGATTGCTCAGCTGCTAGTACAGTGTAGATTTTACTTTTAAGTCACAGTCTGAACCATATTTTACAAAGGTTTTAATGCTAGAACTGCACACTAAAGAAATAGAATATATTTTCATTGTCACAGGAAATGATCTTTAAAGTCTATGTACTCCAAAAGTAATGCCTCCTATTTATTTCCATGGAAACTACAAAATATACAAAGAGCACAATAACATTATTTGATAGAGCAAATTATCATCTGCAAAACACTGCTTTTAAATATAGTCACCACAACTAGCTATGCTTTTTTTCCAGCAGTGAACAAGAGCCTGAATACCACATTTATAATAATCGGCATGGCCATCTGTAATGTGGCTTGTCTTTCATGTTGTCGTCACTGCTGAAACACACCACCCACCTGCTCACTGTGCTAACATCTACTACTTTATCTCCATTAAATGCTTAGCTGGTGTCAATGAATGCCAATGGGTGCAATTTTTTCCATATGGAGGAATTCAGTTCCATTTCATTGCTTCATATATATTTCCATGTTAGATATCATTTTGTCAGATTGGCCCTCTTCTGCCTACTGCCATAAGGCAAAAAAATTTAATGGAATATTGGAAGCAGTGTTCAATCTCTATTGCCATACCACTAACATCTGCCTCTGGTGTAGTGGGCCAACGTAATAAAACAGGAGGCATTGATTTTGGAACATCCTTAATGCTATTGAGTGATATCATGAGAGAACTAAATTTTTAATGGGATATACATACATCATGAAGTGGGTATGCAGCTTCATAAACGTTGTTTGCTATTAATGTGCTAATACCTAAAATAAATAAATAAATAAAGCAGAGAAGATTATTGATTTCATTTGATGACATCACATAAAAGACTGAGACATTTTACTGAAAATGATCAAAATCATGTAGATAAGTATCTACTAACACGGAAGTATAGAAGTATCCAGCTATGGTAAATATTTTCATAGAAAAGTTCATTTCTATATGTGCTTTTTCTTGAGTGAACTAGTATGATAGAAAAACAGTTTTGATTACTTTATCATCCTGGTATAAAAAAAGTATGTGACTGAGAAGGAGAATATCTGGGAAGTCCTTTCAGAAGCCAGATAATGATCAGAATCGTGGATCCCTACTGATACACAAATACATAAAAAATACATTTACAAAAGTTTGTGATTAAGAAACTCCTGCTCTCCATTGACTAACATTACACTGTGTTTATTTTTTGTGGAACCAAATACTAGTGTTTCTGTCCTTCCTCTTATAAATAATATCATCCTTCTGAGTTTGAAACAACTCATCTTTGCAGGAGTTATATCAATCAATTCTCATCTAATCCATGGTTATGGTGGAAAGCTGCATGTTTCACGGCAAGAAGCGCTGACTTCTAAAGATTGCAATAAAGAAGTCTGGTAAAAAAAAAAAACAGCAAGATTTAAGGACACAGCAGTATCACAGAGAACCCTTATTAATAAGGGTTTCAGCAATTGCATTCCTACCTAATGATTACATCACCTAAAGACCACTACAGGCTCTCAAGAGTTAGAACTTTTACAGTTATTCTGTTTCCAGTATTTGGAAGTGAACACAATTCCTCCATAAAATGTCAGTTAAGATTAGCAGTTTATTTCAGACCTATACGCTTCGGTGTCCAGCAGAAAGTAATCAGAACTTTTGTCCTTAGGAGAAAACAAATGGTAGTCAAATTATACAACATTCTGAAATATTTTGGCAAAACCCTTGGCAGACACCCTAGATGGGCATTAGCAATACATTTCTCCCTTGGCACATGCAAAATATCCTTATCCCTACATGCACTAAGATAGAAAGGAAATATTAATGTTTGGATCATATCAAGTCCTCTATTGAAAGCATTCTGCTTTTGGAAAGCTGGTAGCAGTTCATAGTTATGCTAGAAACAAATATATGTATACTGTATAACATCGTAGAAATAGAATCAAAATCAGCCCTGCACAGCTGCAAAAATCAGTAAGCAAATGTATTTGAAGTGTCATTTTCCTCCCACCATATGATGATTCATGAAAACCAAATATTGTTCAAACACTTCCAATATCGTCATCCTACTTCCTTTTTGTTAAATAAGTAACAAAATCCTAGGAAAACAGAATAAAGCCCTGCCTTAGGTCCCAGCAAGGGGAAGAAAGTAAGCAGGCTTCCAAACTGACAGAGGGAAAACTTGTGCAGGAAGAGAGGGTCTGGACCCTTGGCCCTACTCAGGGCAGAAGGATAAGCCTCCCTGTGCCCCTGAAGTCTCCCTAACCAACAGACATGAAGCTCTGGAGATGGAAAGAGAAGAGGGTATGGACAGTGGTTCAGAACCACAAAAAGGGCCACTATGTTAAGAAGATCCAAACAAGAACTCGAGTCACAACTAATGGTAGTAAAAAAGGTGAAATGTCTTAGTAATTGGAGAGTCTGTGCTGAGAGTCACTGAGGCACCCATCTGCTACCGAGACAATCTCTCTAAAGAGGTCTGCTGCCTTCCTCAGGAAGAGGATATGAGGTATGATAAAGCCAGAGGACTACAGTTGGTCTTTCAAGATGGTTCACATGAGGCTGCAACTAGGAAATTAAAAAGTATCAAAAGGATTTTACATTCCTTGGGGATATACTGAAGGGATCAGGAGTGTAGATAGTAGTAGTAGTAGCCCCCCTCAATTCTCCTGAACTGGAGGTTGGGATGAGGGCAGACAGAAGAGAACAGACCACCTGAATGAATGGCTGAATGAATGATGTCATGTCCAGAGCTTTGACTTCTATGATCTAAGGCACACTTTCAATAAACAGGGAATGTTGACACAGGATAGGACACAACTGACCAGGAGGGTCAAGAATATACTAGGAAGCAAGCTGGCTGGACCTATCACCATGGTTTCAAACTAGATTTCTCGCAGGAAGGGTGTATAGTGGTGAATAACATAGAAGAGGGTTCCTTCAAGAAAGTAATGTGGCCAAAAGCCCACTTGAAGTGCCTCTATACCAAAGCACACAACATGGGAAATAGGCAGGAAGAACTGAAAACCATGGTGCAATTGAAAAACTACCATCTTGTTGCTGTCATGGAAAGATGGTGAGATGACTCACATAATTTGAATATCATGACTGAGAGCTATGAACTTTTTAGAAAGGATAAGCAAGGTAAGAGATGTTGCCCTTTATGTTAAGAAATGGATAGATTGTGAAGAGGTGCCTCTGAGAAACAGTAATGAACGTGTTGAGAGATTGTGGGTTAAAATTAGGGACCAAACTTTAAGTCATCTAGCGTTCGGGGGCTGCCAGATCAAGGGGAACATGTTGACATCTGTCAGATACAAGAGATGGTGCACTCACAAGCTCTCATCCTGATGGGAAATTTCAGCCACCCAGACATCTGCTGGGAAAGCAACAGAGAAAGCTGCAAGCAAACCATGAGAATCCTGGCATCCACTGACGAAAACTTGATGGTTCAGGTATTAGACAAATCCACCAGAGGTGAAGCACTGCTGGACCTGATGCTCACCAACATGGAGAAGACTGTTAAAGATGTTAAGATTGGAGGCAGTCTGGGCTGCAGTGACCATGGCCTGGTGGAGTTCATGATCTCAAGGAGTGCAGGCCTGAGCTTCAGGAGAGCGAACTTCAGGCTGTTTCAGGAATTGTTGGATGATATACCCTGGGAAACTGTTCTTAGGGGAAAACAAACAGAACAGATATAGCAGCACTTCAAGGAGACCTTTCTCAGAATACCTTTCTAAGAACACAGAAAGAAACCCCTTCCCCAGAATAAGAAATCAGGCAAACAAGACAGGAAACCAGCATGTCTGAGCAAGGGTCTGCTGGTCAAACTGCAGGAAAAAGAAGTATAAGTGATGGAACCAGGGATGTTGCCCTTTATGTTAAGAATGGATAGACTGTGAAGAGGTGCCTCTGAGAAACAGTCACGAACATGTTGAGAGATTGTGGGTTAAAATTAGGAACCAGACCCCTAAGTCATCTAGCATTTGGGGGCTGCCAGATCAAGGGGAACCTGTTGACAGCCTTCAGATACAAGAGATGGTGAACTCACAAGCTCTCATCCTGATGGGAAATCATACCCACCAAGTTCTCCATCATATTTGAAAAATTTAAAGCCAGAGTTACAGGCCTGTGAGCTTCGCCTCCATTCTGTAGAAGTTCAGGCAATGATTCCCCCTGGAAGAGATGTTAAGGCACAAAACAAAAGACGTGATCCGAGACAGCCAGAATTGCTTCACTGAAGGCAAATTGAGCCTGACTAATCTGGTTGCCTTCTATGGTGGACTGATGGCATTGGTGGACAAAGGAAGGGCAACAGATGTCATCTACCTGGACTTTGCCAGGTCTTTGACATGGTCTTGTACCACATTCTTATCTCCAAATCAGAGAAAAAGAGATTTGAACGCTGGACTACTAGGTAGAAAAATAATTCATAGAATCCTTAGAATCCTTAGAATTGGAAGGGACCTCTAAAGGTCATCTAGTCCAATTCCCCTGCAATGGACAGGAACATTCACATCTAGATCTGGGGAGGAGGTCATAGTCAAAAGGGTTGGCAACAGCTCTATGTCCAGGAAGAGGCCAGTAATGAGTGATATCCCCCAGGGTCTGTCTTAAGAACACTGCTCTTTAACATCTTTATTAATGATGTAGACAGTGATATCAAATGTATTCTCAGCAGGTTTGCTGATGACACAAGGCTGAGTGGTACAGCTGAAAATACAAGAAAGGGACACCATCCAGAGGGACCTGGACAGACTCAAAAAGTGGGCACATGAGTGAGGACTTGATGAGGTTTAACAAGACTAACTGCATTTGAGCTGGGACAATCCCAGCTGTGAGTGTGGGGAAAAAACACATTGAGAGTAGCCTGCAGTGAAGGACTTAGCGGTCCTGGTGGACAAAAAGCAGGACATGAGCCAACAGTGTGCTCTTGCAGCCCAAAAGGGCAACAGTATGCTCAACTACATCGAAAGACAACCATTAGAGTGAGAGAAGTGTTTTTCCACTCCTACCCTGCCTTTGTGAGGCCCCATCTGGAGTACTGAGTCTGGGGCCTGGGGCCCTCAGTACTGGAGGGATAGAGAGCTCTTGGAGCTGATCCAGAGGACCACCAAGATGATAAGAAAGCTGGAGCTCCTCTCGTATTAAAAAAGTTTGGGGGAATTGGGTTTGTTTAGCACGGGAAGAGAAGGCTTTGGAGATATCTCACTTTGGCCTCCCGGTACTTGAAGGAAGCTTACAAGCAGGAGAAAGACTGACTTTTTACACTATCTGATAATGACGGGACAAAGAGGATTGTCTTTAAAGTAAAAAAAGGGAAAAATTAGGTTAGATATAAGGAGGAATTTCTGTACTTATAATTTGGTGAGGCACTGGAACAGGTTGCCCAGAGAAATTGTGGATGCTTCATCCCTCAAGCTGTCAAAGGCCAGGTTGGATGGGGCCCTAGGCAACCTGATCTAGTGCCCATGGCAGAAGCATTGGAACTTGGTGATCTCTAAGATCCCCTCCAATCTAAGCCATTCTATGAGTCTATGATTCTGTGAATGCTTGAAGAAATCTTTTGAGATACTCAAGTTTAGTATTCCTAACACTAGTGAAAAAGGAGAACCTTAGTAATGCATGAAGCAAAGAACTTTTGGGGGATCATCTCAAAAGACAAGAACGATTACTGAATATATGTCAAATGTGATGTATAATCAAGTTCAGGCTATAGTCTAGAAAGGGAAAAACATTTGCTTCTTGTCAAATGGGACCTTGAGTTGACCTAAGCTTGAAAAAAGAAGCA